GTGACAGAGATCCTTACTGCAAGGATGGAAGTGATGAAATTAAATGCCCTTCCTGGACCAGTTCAGATGTGAAGATGGGAACTGTGTCCATGGGAGTAGGCAGTGCAGTGGTGTGAGAGACTGTCTGGATGGCACTGATGAAGCAAACTGTAACAATGTTATTCAGTGCTCTGGACCTGGCAAATTCAAGTGCAGAAGTGGAGAATGCATAGATATCAATAAAGTGTGTAACCAGCAGAGAGACTGCAAGGACTGGGGTGATGAGCCCCTGAAGGAATGCAACATAAATGAATGTGACTGTCCAGCTGGGAAACTGTGGAGATAGTGATGAATGCCAAAACCCTGGTATCTGTAGTCAAATCTGTATCAACCTGAAAGGCTATCAGATGAATCCTGCTACAGGAACCTGGAAGGGGCCATACGGCAAAGCAAATTAGATAACTGTTATTTAACTTGTCAGAAGATAAAAAAGAAAGTGTTTCAACAAGCAGCCACGGGAGGGAAGAATCACTGAACCCCCGATGTGAGGGACTGTACCTTGTTTTACTGACTACTGAAACAGCTGTGAGAACAGCAGAAAGGGACCCATGCATCCAGAATAAAAGGACCAGTAACTACTAAAACTCAGAGGGTTGAGTCCGCTCCTGGGAAACTGAAACTCAAGCTAAGGAAGAACTAATATTCTGGCAACGAGGCTCTGCATGAACTAAGGATGCCAAATAAAGGGGACAAGCCTGAAGGGAGGAAAGGGAGAAGGCAAGACCGGGGCAGGACCCTCCACTGCGGTGTGCATGGTCTACCGAGGGAGGCAACCCCTATGGGTATTGACTGCCGAGTGAGAGGGCCTCGGCCGGACTTCTCCCACACTAAGGTCAGGTTGTCCCGAGAAAATAACATAAGAACCTTTTTTTAACCTATATAAAATTGTGATTCGTTTTCCAGGAGCTGGATCACCCTGACAGGCCGAACGGTAACACAAGCCTGAATTGACCCTGAAGGTGTTTGCCTATTATGATCCAGCTACGTGAGCAGAAGACAGATCCTGGGACTATAGGACCCCAGTATATATACTTAATAGAATAATTAGGTTATTAGCGGTAATAGAAATAATTATAAATAAAACCGGAGATGCACTTTGATTAATTGCAAAGAAAAATACCAAGATGAGAACTGCTTTGTATCAAAATTGCCTAGCTTTGGATTATTTACTAGCACAAGAAGGAGAAGTCTGTGGAAAATTTAGCTTTAGTAATTGCTGTTTAAAGATTGATAAAAAAAGGGTGTTTCTTTCTAGTAGCTGGTAGAATGTTATGTTCTGGTTTAGGATGAGAAGAATGCTAATAATATGCTGATGTTTTAATTGTTGCAGAGCAGTGCTTACACCAAGCCAAGGACGTTTCAGCTTCTTACTGTCCTGCCAGCAGGCAAGCTGGGAGGAGGGCCGGACTGCTTGAGGTTAAGCTGGGCATCGGACAGCAGGTGGTGAGCAATTGCATTGTACATCACTTGTTTCGTACACATTATTACTAGTAGTACTATTATCATCATTATTGTTATTATTATTATTTTCTTGTTTTTATCTCAACTCACAGGCTTCACTTTCCCATTTCTCTCTCACCGTCCCAGAGAAGGAAGGGGGGAGGTGAGCGAGCAGCTGTGTGTTGTTTAGCTGCCCACTGGGTTAAATCACAACAGAAAGAAAAGCTGTAAATGAACTTGTAAAGGAAATTAGAAAATTGGCCCACGTCCCAGCACAAACCTGGAAGGATATGGAATGGGATTTATTTTCATGGCTGCCTGGTGGACCATGGGTTAAAAGAATGTTATTTTTTTTTGTTATGTAGTGTAATGAGTCTATTGTTTATACCTTGTATGATACCTTGCCTTACATTATTAATACACCGGATGATAAATAGTACATTTGTAATAACTTTGTTAAAAAAGGAAGGGAATATGTCATTTATGATGCTTAAGAATTGGACCCTCCAAGAACGGACTGATGAAATCCAGTTATTAACAACAGAAGAGACATGAACTGAGGATATTAAAAAGAAGATAAGGGATTGTGAGGAATGTTTTAACAATTCGTGTCAATAAAGAACAGTCCTGTCTGCCTCTGGGCCCTGTAATGGCAATTAATTCTTGAACCACAGATGCAGTGTGTCCCAGTCTCCCCCTCATTCTAGTCAATTTATCAAGTCTTCAGAAAATACTCCTCAAATCTATGAACCTGTTTGCTTTTGTTATTCCGAACTCCTATTTCTAACAGCTACAGCCTTTTTTTTGTCTTCTTCGAGATTAATTTAACACTGCTATAGGTGTGACTGTCCCTGTGAATGGCTGGTGAAGAATGTTTTAATTACTGGTGAAGTGTCAATAAGAAAGCTATTTGTGTTTGTATGAAGTCTTTGATGTCTGGGGGTTTCAGAACAACTGATAACAACTAGTGACTGTTATGGGATACTATGCAGGCCTCTGATATCTGGCCAGGTGGCCAAGAGATTAAGAAGAAGAAAAAAAAGAAGCTGAAAGACGGCTGGGAGACAAGACCTGCAGGGGATGCTGTATAAACTTGACATGGTGCCAAGGAAGTACAAAGGGGAAGGACAAGAAAAAAACTTGGAGAGGAAGACTACAAGCCTTCAGCATGAAAGACCCCTAGAAACCCCCAGAGGGACCACCAGAGACTGATGCGCGTGCTCCAGTAGGAGGGACTGGAACCCGGAAGCTAATTATAATAACCTTTTTTTTTTTAGAAGTAGTAATGAATATGTATTAGTCTAGGAGCATAAAAATCAGCTACTTGATATAACTGGTGTGTCCTGGTGGAGTGGAGATTCCCAGTGCACCCAGCGCTGTTTGCTTACCTCTATTCTTTTAATAAATCCTCCTTTTTAAATAGATCAGCTGCCCCAGTGGTGTCCCTACCCACCTCTTGCCCACCTGCTGGCTCTTGGGAGGGTTTGGAGACTTGTGTGCTGGGTCTGGCTGGGATGGAGTTAACTTTCCCTGCAGCAGCCCACACAGTGCTGTGCTCTGCACTCATAACTAGAACAACAGTGGTATCACACCAGTGTCTGCTGCGTAGTGCTGGCACAGCATCAGGACCCCATCCAAGCCCCCAAGAGCCAGCAGGCTGGGGGTGGGCAAGTGATGGGGAGGAAACATTGCCGGGGCAGCTGACCTAAACCAACCAAAGGGATATTCTATAACACCTGATGTCACACTCAGCAATAAAAATGGGGGCTCTCAGGGGGGAGGGGTCTGTCCTCCTGAACAACCATTTTGCATGTTTGGGCCCTGCTTCCCAGGATGTGGACGAACATTGTTCATTGATGGGAAGTAGAGAATAACTTTTTTTCCCCTTTCTCTCTGTGCTTCCGTGTGACCTTTTTTTTTCCCCCTCTCCCTTTTCCCTTTAATTAAATCATCCTTATCTCAATCCTTGAGCTCTTTGTGTCGTATTTTCTCCCCCTTCCTCTTTGAGAGAGCATCTGTGGTGGAACTCGGCTACCAATCCGAGAGAAACCACCGCAACTTGATGCTGTGCCAGTATTGTTCAGCAACAGACAAAACATTGGTGTGACACCAATGCTGTTCTAGGTACAAATGCAAAGCACAGCACTGTATGGGCTGCTGCAGGGAAAGTTAACTCCATTCCAGCCAGACCTAGTACAACTTCAGTCCTTATTCTATACCATTTGTGTCACACTCAGGTTCCACATACTTTAGTATAAAAGTATTCTCATCACCACTATTCCCTGTCCCTTAACAGTTATATAGATATTTTCTTTTCATTCTGTGGGCCTCTGCCAAAATGTCCATAAGAACTGTTGATGATTTAGGCTTCATCTGCCAGTGGTCACTCAAGACAGGTGGGGTAGGATGTCTGGATGCCAACACCAGCTTAGCTCGAGTCATTGCTGCACTTGCCCGGATCCTTGCAAAACTGACCTGTCGTTGGTTCTGCACTGTCTTCCTACAACGTATAACTTTATAGATTATTTTTCTCCCAAGGTTAAATCTCCTTGAGGCACACACTTGATATCCTCATCCTTCTGCATCACCCACCACAAGTACCCTGGTCCTTGGGCGAAGACAATACCACAAATGGCTCTGCCTTTTCCCAAGGCAGGAGCAACCCACACCGCCTTCCTCAGCCACTTTCCTACATGCACTACAGGGACTTTAGCTCCTCCCACAGGGTGTATGTTGAGGGATTTTTAACCAGCAAGGAGGCCATGACTTGCTTCAGCTGAGCAAACCAAGCTACCAGGACAACTATGAGAAGTTCCCATGACAGTGTTCCCACATCACCCAATTGAGGAATTTAGAAAAATATTGTTGCCAGCAGCTGGCTTCAAGGACAAGATCTACGTGACTGCTAATCACAAGGGGGTTGTTTTCTTGCAGGTGGGGTTGTTTTCTTGCAGTAGTTTATCTGAATGCTTTTGACCAATAATCTTGTTTATAATATATACAATATATATTTACTATATATATATATATACAAAAGGTCAACAGAGTTGATATATAAAAGGTTATATATAAAAAAAAAAAGTTATATAAAAAAGGTCAACAGAGTTGTCACCCCAGAATTTAAGAAAGCAAACTTTAAGCTTCTCAGGTGTTGAAGGAATTTTTGAAACAGCAAAGATCCCATGACTTGCTGCAGCTGAGCAAACCAAGCTACCAGGACTACTATGAGAAGTTCCCATGACAGTGGTCCCACATCACCCAATTGAGGAATTTAGAAAAATATTGTTGCCAGCAGCTGGCTTCAAGGACGGGATCTACGTGCCACAGCAGATCAAGATGGATGATGGTCCAGTGTATGTCAGCAAGAGGGTTAGAAAATTTATGAAAATGTGGGGAGTAAAGCATATCACAGGTGTTCCATATTCTCCCACGGGCCAAGTGATGGCGGAACGATCACATCAGGTTTTAAAGGAACAATTAGCGAGATTAAAAGAGATCAAGGACATCGATGAGTGATTGTCTGAGGCATTGGTTGTCTTGAATCACTTATGTTTGACTAGTGACTGAGAAGACCCTCCTGCAAGCATTCATTTTCAAACAATAAATAGAGCAGCACCAAATGTGTTACCACAAATAAGAATGAATTACCCAGATCCTGCTACAGGAACTTGGAAAGGGCCATACGGGTACAGAAATACAAGTAAGGCCTGTGGTTACAATGACACTGCTAGGCAGGGTTTAGGGGCTTATGGCACGGAGACAAGGGGTAACTACTATAGTGTTTGGAACAATCATACAGCTATGGCCTTACCTCCTGATGTTTTTCTGATTTGCGGGAATAGGGCCTGGCAAGGTATCCCTGCAAATGCTATCGGAGGTCCATGTTACTTAGATAAACTTACTATATTTGCTCCTAGCTTGTCGCAGTTGCGTGAGATCACCAGACATAAATGGGCATTGCTCGCACCGGATTGCAATGATAATGTTGAATTGCTTGGTGTTGCAGCTAGAGCGGCATTGGCAAGTAGTGCCAGGAGTGGCATCTGCGGCCGCACTTAATAATTTAAAAATTGTTATGCTGGGCCGAGAAGCAAGCCCATGCCAGGACAGAGATACTTGAGGAGATGTTACCAGATCAAAATAGTCTGCGACACGCGCTCTTACAGGATTGAACTGCTGTTGACTTCTTGCTTTTGGCTCAAGGGCATGGGTGTGAGGACTTTGAGGGTATGTGCTGTTTGAACCTTTCTGATCATAATGAGTCATTTCACAAATCCATTATTTTCCAGAAAGAGCATATGAGAAAGATTCAATATGATATCAATCCTTTCGATCAATGGCTCACAGATTTGTTTGGGACGATGCATAGATGGTTACTGGGATTAATCAAAGAGGGATTAAGGATTCTGTTTGTTGTGGTGTTAATCATCATTGCATGTTGTATTGTAATAAATGTGGTTAAAGGGTTACTTGCAAAACTGTTACATCGGGCTTGGTTTGCTCAAAAAGAAAAAGGGGGAATTGTTGAGGGATTTTTGAAACAGCAAAGATCCCATTGCTTGCTGTAGCTGAGCAAACCAAGCTACCAGGACGACTATGAGAAGTTCCCATGACAGTGTTCCCACATCGCCCGATTGAGGAATTTAGAAAAATATTGTTGCCAGCAGCTGGCTTCAAGGACGGGATCTACGTGACTGCTAATCACAAGGGGGTTGTTTTCTTGCAGGTGGGGTTGTTTTCTTGCAGTTGTTTGTCTGAGTGCTTTTGACCAATAATCTTGTGTGAGACACTATCCACCCCTGCTAAATTTGCTGTAAGAGTCAGGCTATTCGGGTAATAAGGGAGAGCATGATCTGACCATACTAGTGTCTGTCGTGTTTTCGGCCGTTCTTCCTGCAACACTCAGGGACCTAGTTAGCAGTGTCCCCTGGGGACTCTTCTTTAGAGGGTTTAGGGGTGCAAGACAGCTGGTCACTTTTCAAGAACCACCTTTTAAAAGCCCAGAAGTATGCAAGTCAAGCAAGAAAGGCAGAAGTCTGGCTTGGCTGAACAGGGAACTCCTCCTGGAACTAAGGCAGAAAAAGAAAATATATGACCTGTGGAAGCAAGGTCTGGCTTCACAGAGAAAGTACAGAGCTGAAGTTTGCCTCTGCAGGGAGAAAACAAGAAAAGCCAGAGCCCAACTTGAGTTGACACTGGCCACTGTGGTATCAGACAACAAAAAGGGCTTTTTCAAGTATGTCAACAGATAGAGGAGATCAAAGGAAAATATTGGACTGATACTTGAAGCAGATGGTCACCTAACATGTAAGGAGGAGGAAAAGGCAGAGGCATTTAATGTCTTTTTTGGCTCAGTAACAGATCTTGGGCTGCCCGGACCTCAGAGTTAGAGGACCATGACTGGGGGAGCAGTGACTTTCCATCTGTGGCCACTGAAATTGTAAGGGACTAGTTATGTCAGCTCAACGTTCATAAATCCATAGGGCCTGATGGGATTCATCCCAGAGTGCTGAAGGAGTTAGTGGATGTTATAGCTGGACCCCTCTGAACAATTTACCAAAGGCTGTGGGAGTCTGGGGAGGTCCCTGCTGACTGGAAGCTAGCCAATGCTATACCCATCTACAAAAAGGGCATGAGACAAGAAACTTAGGAAACTACAGACCTGTTAGTCTAAACTCAGTCCCTGGAAAAGTTATGGAGAAGACTGTCCTGGGGAATATTGAAAGGCATTGAAAGAACAAAGCTATTATCAGGCATAGTCAACATGGGTTCATCAAGAGAAAGGCCTGCCTTAGTCATTTGATCTCCTGTATGATAAGGTCACCCACTTGGTGGATGAAGGGAAGGCAGCGTATGTAATCTTTCTGGATTTTAATAAGGCTTTTGATACTGTCTCTTACAGCATCCTCCTGAACAAGTTGTCCATCTGTGAAATAAACAGGCTCGTGCTATGCTGGGTGATGAACTGGATGAATGGTAGAGCTCAAATGGGGCTACATCTGGCTGGTGGACCGTCACTAGCAGTGTTCCCCTGGGGCTCAATTCTAGGTCCAGTCCTGTTCAATGTTTTTATCAGTGATCTGGATGCGGGAGTGGAATACATCTTCAGCAAGTCTGCTGATGACACTAAACTGGGAGGTGCTGTTGATTCTCTGGAGTGACAAGAGGCCTTGCAGAGGGATCTAGACAGATTACAGCACTGGGCAATCAAAAATGGCATGAAGTTCAACAAGGGTAAATGCTGGGTTCTGCACCTGGGACGGGGTAATGCTGGACAGAGGTCCAGACTGTGTGATGAGTGGCTGGAGAGCAGCTCAGCAGAAAGGGATCTAGGGGAGCTGGTCAACAGTAGTCTCAACATGAATCAGCAGTGTGCCCTGGCAGCTAAGAGAGATATTAAATGCAGCATAGCCAGCCAAAAGAGGTGATTCACCAAAAGAGGTGATTCTCCTGCTATATTTGGAAGGAGATATATTTGGGCTATATTTGGGCTTGGAAGGCATGCCCCATGAAACGCTTGGGTTGTCTAGTCTGGAGAAAAGGAGGCAAAGATGTGACCTCATTGCTCTCTATGACTTCCTGAGCATGCGTTGTTTAATCCCACAGGCAGCTAAACACCACACAGCTGTTCGCTCACTCCCCACACTGCAGTAGGATGGGGGAGAGCTTCTTGGAGTAGCTGCAGGGCCTGTCGCAGGGTTTGGTTTAGTGTTGAGTGTGGCTCAGTAGGCATGGGCCAGGCCCTAGCATATTGTAGTGATTCATGTCTTTCTGAAATTGCCAGGGTGACAGCATACTTTTTCCAAATGTTTGACTAGTTTTTCATGTTTCTACACTTGTTCAGGGGTGAAGTTCCAAAGCACTGGAGGTGCCCACTATTCTAGGTGCCTGCCTATATCCTTCCACGCTCCCTGCCACTCATAACTATCTTGCCTTGGGGCAGATCTCTGGGTGGTATTGTTAAATAATTGTTTAACCATAAACAAAAGCAGAAACATAGTCAGGAGACATAGCAGTAAGTACATGCTGGTTTGAACATCATGAGGGAGGGAAAGTATCCCCCCTTGTCTCCCCCATAGATTAGGTCCCTGAGGAGAAAAGGTAAATTGTGTAGTTATTAATAGTCTCTGAGAGATGATTCCCAAAGTACGGAGATGACGGCAATGCTGAGTACAAATATCAGATTAGTCTCATGACTAGTAATTTTATCATATCATAATCCAGTGTTACACAGTACAGCTAAATGATAATCTTAAACCAGCCCCCAGAAATGATAAACAGTGCAACAGGGAGCATAGGCAGCAAGTAAGGTGTTATATAGCATTACTCTGAGAACAAGCACAACTCTGAGAACAAAAATATCAACACCGTAACCAGCAACTATTAAACTGATATAATGCTTATAAGATTTTTTTAACAGTGTCTCATCAGATCTGTCATTATCTCAACCCTTCAGACCCCACTTTCTGCGCTAAAAGTACTGTTGTGGTTCATCTGGCAGGCTGCTAATTTTCACACAGATGTTTGTTCACTCCCTCCACCCCTCCCAGTGGGATGGGGGAGAGAACTGAAAAGAAAAAAGGATAAAAAACATGTGTTGAGATAAAAACAGTTTAATAGGACAGAAAAAGAAGGGAAGTAAATAATAATAATTATGATAACGGAATATACAAAACAAGTGATGCACAATGCATTTGCTCACTGCCCACTGACCAATGCCCGGCCAGACCCAAAGCAGTGGCCAACCCCCCTAGTTTTATTGTTCAGCATGGTGTTATATGGTATGGAATATTCCTTTGGCCACTTTGGGCCAGCTGTCCTGGTTGTGTACCAGCTTCTTGTGCACCCCCAGCCTCCCTGCTGGTAGGGTGGTTTGAGAAGCTGAAAAATCCTTGACTTAGTTTAAGCACAGGTCAGCAATGCCTAAAACATCAGTGTGTTCTCAACATTATCAGCATCCTAAAACACAGCGCCTTATCAGCTACTAGGAAGAAAATTAACTATCCCAGTCAAACCCAGGACATCAGGGGAAGCACAGAGGGGGGTACTGGTCTTTTCTCCCTGGTAACTGATGACAGGTTTGCAGGAACAGAAAAAAGCTGTGCCAGGGGAGGTTCAGACTGGACATTAGGAAAAAATATTTATGATGAGGGTGGTCAAACTCTGGAACAGGCTCCCTAGAGAGGTGGTTGATGTCCCATGCCTGTCAGTGTTTAAGAGGCATTTGGATAATGACATCATTAATATATCTTGAGTTTTGGTTAGCCCTAAAGTGGTCAGGCAGTTGGACTAGATGATCTTTGAAGGTCCCTTCCAACTGAACTGTTCTGTTCTATTCTCTTTTTTTTCTATGTATTTGTAAAGTACTTTTGGATTCTGGAATGAAGAAAGAGGAATGAGGAATTCTCTCTGGACTGAGAGAACAATCAAACACATTGAAAATAAACCTTTTTAGGTATTTTTGTTACTTAATATAATCTTTCTTAAAGAGAAAAATGACCAAAATTTTACTTTTTTTTTTTTTTTTTTTTACAGTAAGTATTGGACTGAAGAGTTGTAAAGGAATGCTTTGCACTGTGGTTGAAATCAAGAAATTTCTTCAAAGGGACTATAAGCTGGTGTGAAATATGTTCATCTGATTCGTGTCAGTATGGAACAATGCTAGGACCGCATGGTATGATGAATGTGACCTTCTGTCTTACATACCCTTGTATAACCACAAGTCTAAGAGAAACAGAGTGGTTAATGTATATAGTTCTTGCATCCTGCAAAGGAATGTTTTAGCAATTCATGTCAATAGAGAACTTGAAGGGAAATGTATCTGTAGGCTTTTCCTTGAAGTCTCTGATATCTGGGGGGGTTTCAGAATAACTGCTAACCATTATGACTATTGCATGGGACACTATGCAAGTCTCTGATATCTGGCCAGGAGATTAAGGAGACGGGGAGAGCTGAAGAACAACTAAAAGACAAAGCTTGCAGGGGACGCTGCACAAGACTCTGACATACAGCCAAGTTGGACAAAGGAGAAGGACAAGAGGGAGAAAGACTATGAGCCTTCAGCACGAGAGACCCCCAGAGGGCCCACCGGAGACTGATACACATGCTCCACTAGGAGGGTTTGGATTCCGGAAACTAATTATAATAACCCTGTTTTTTTTAGAAGTAGTACTGAATATGTATTAGCCTAGGAGCATAAAAACCAGCCGCCTGATGTAACAGGTGTGTGTCTTGGTGGAGCAGAGACTCCTGGTGCACCCAGCGCTGTTTGCTTACCTCTATTCCTTTAATAAACTTTTAACTTTGATTATAGTCCTATTTTGAAGACTGAGCCATTTATTACATTGGTAACAATATTTTACTAATTTATACCATGAAACAGTTAAAAAAAAAAAATTGGGGTGGATTATCTAGGGGTATTTTCAGAACCTTGATTTTGTGAATTTCCAGTCCAATTCCTTAATCCAAGAGCCAAATATAGAATCATAGAATCGTTGAAGTTAGAAAAGACAGAATTACAGAATCACAGAATTGTAGGGGTTGAGAGGGACCTCCATAGCTCATCGGGTCCAACTCCCCTGCCGAAGCAGGTTCCCTAGAGCAGGTTGCCCAGGTAGGCGTCCAGATGGGCCTTGAATATCTCCAGAGAAGGAGACTCCATAACCTCCCTGGGCAGCCTGTTCCAGTGCTCCGTCACCCTCACCGTGAAGAAGTTCTTTCGCACATTGGTGCGGAACTTCCTGTGCTCCGTTTTGTGGCCATTGCCCCTTGTCCCACAGACCATCGAAAAGAGGTTGGCCAAATCCCTTTGTCTCCCACACTTAAGATGTTTGTAAAGGTTGATAAGATCCCCTCTCAGTCTTCTCAAGGCTGAACAGACCCAGGTTTCTTAGCCTTTCCTCGTAGGGGAGATGCTCCAGGCCCCATATCATCTTTGTGGCCCTCCACTGGACTCTTTCCAGGGATCCCTGTCTTTTTTGTACCGGGGAGCCCAGAACTGGACACAGTATTCCAGGTGAGGCCTGACAAGGGCAGAGTAGAGGGGGATCACCTCCCTTGACCTGCTGGCCACACTCCTTCTAATGCACACAAGGATCCCACAGGCCCTCTTGGCCACAAGGGCACAGTGCTGGCTCATGGTCAACCTGTCGTCCACCAGGACCCCCAGGTCCTTCTCCTCAGAGCTCCTCTCCAGCAGGTCATCCCCCAGCCTGTACTGATACATGCAGCTGTTCCTTCCCAGGTGCAGGACTCTACATTTGCTCTTGTTAAACTTCATTTGGTTTCATCCTGCCCATCTCTCCAGCTGGTCCAGGTCTCACTGAATGGCAGCGCAGCCTTCTGGCGTGTCAGCCACTCCTCCCAGCTTTGTGTCATCGGTGTACTTGCTGAGGGTGTACACTATTCCCTCATCAAGGTCACTGATGAAGATGTTGAATAAGACTGGACCCAGCACCGACCCCTGGGGAACACCACTAGTCACAGGTCTCCAGCCAGACTCTGCGCCGCCGATCACCACCCTCTGAGCTCGGCCAGTCAGCCAGTTCTCAACCCACCTTACTGTCCACTCCTCTATCCCACACTTTCTCAGCTTTGCTATCAGGATGTCGTGGGAGACAGTATCGAAAGCCTTGCTAAAGTCAAGGTAGATGACATCCACTGCTCTCCCCTCATCTACCCAGCTGGTGATGCCATCATAGAAGCCAATGAGGTTGGTCGAGCACGATTTCCCCTTGGTGAATCCGTGCTGACTACTCCTCATAACCTTCTTCTCTTCCAATTGCTTGGAAATGGCCTCCAGAACAAGCTTTTTCCAACACCTTTCCAGGTGAGACTGACTGGCCTGTAGTTTCCTGGATCTTCCTTCTTGCCCTTCTTGAAGACCGGAGTGACATTGGCTGTCCTCCAGTCTTCAGGCACCTCTCCTGTTTTCCAAGACCTGTCAAAGATGATAGAGAGCAGTTTGGCGATCACCTCCGCCAGCTCCCTCAGCACACGTGGATGCATCCCATCGGGGCCCATGGATCTGTGTGCAGTGATCCCACTCAGACACTCCCGAACCACTCCCTCCTCAACCAGAGGGGAGCTCTCCATTTCCCAGACTCTCTCTCCTCCCTCCAGGGTCCAGGAGTCCCGAGGGGGAGTCTTTGAAGCAAAGACCAAAGCGTTCCCTGTTACCAGGGCATCCCCCTCGTTCAGCAGGGGACCCACATTATCCCTAGTCTTCCTTTTACTGTTTACATACTTAAAATAATAATAATAATAATAATAATAATAATAATAATAATAATAATAATAATAATAATAATAATAATAAATCTTATTATCCTTTATCTCCTTTGCCAGCTTCATCTCCAGGTGGGCTTCAGCCTTCCTCATTGCATCCCTGCAGGCCCTGACAACACTCCTAAACTCCTCTCAAGGGGACAGGGACTTTTTCCACATTACACAGACCTTCTTCTTCCTTTTGATCTTATCGATGAGCTCCTTGCTCATCCATGCAGGTTTCCTACCCCCCTTCCCCGATTTCCTACTCTTCGGGATGCACCAATCCTGAGCTTGAAAGAAGTGCTGTTTAAATGTAGCCCAGCTCTCACATGCACCCTTTCTTTCTAGCAACCTATCCCATGAGATACCCCCAAGCAAGTCACAGAAGTATTTGAAGTTGGCTCTCCGATAGTCCAGGGTAGCAATCCTGCTTTTAGCCTTACTTCCACCAAGTTCCATCTTGAACTCCACCATCTCATGGTCGCTGCATCCAACCCTCACATCCCTAACAAGCCCATCCCTGTTGGTAAGGACAAGGTCCAGGAGCACCCCCCACCTTGTTGGCTCCTCCACCACCTGCGTCAGAAAATTGTCTTCAACGCATTGTAGGAACCATTTGGACTGCACATGCCTGGCCAAGTTGCTTACCCAACAGATGTCTGGATAATTGAAGTCCGCCATGAGAACCAGTGTCTGTGATCGTGAAGCTACTACCAGCTGCTTGTAGAAGGCCTCATCAACCTCCTCCTCCTCCTGATCTGGTGACCTGTAGTACACCCCCACAACAGCGTCCCCCATACCAGCCCACCCCTTAATTCTCACCCACAAGCTCTCCACTTGTCCTTCACCCTCCCACAGGTGGAGATGGGTACACTCTATTTGCTCCCTCACATAAAGGGCAACCCCATCCCCTCACTTCCCCAGCCCATCTTTCCTAAAAAGGACATAGCCCTCCATGACAGCATTCCAGTCATGCGAGCTGTCCCACCATGTCTCAGTGATTGCAACGAGATCATGGCCCCACGTCCGAACACAGATCTCAAGCTCATCCTGTTTATTACCCATGCTCCGTGCATTGGTATACAGGCACTTTAGGGAAGCAGCAGGCACAGTTACCCCTGGAGGGATGCAAGAAGAAGATTCCAGACGGGGTATTGGGATCATTACCTTCTCTGAGGAGCCCTCGGACGATCCTATGGGACAACTCAGAGGTTTTTCCCTACTATCTTCAACAGTGACAGCAATGACAACTTCCCCCAGCCCTTCTCTGTCACTTTTAGCTCCCCTCCCTTCCCCTGTCAAACCTAGTTTAAAGCCCTGGTAATTAGCCCAGAGAGCTTGTTCTCCAACACACTTGTGCCCCACTTGCTGAGTTGAAGTCGGTCAGCAGCCCACATACCCAGCTTCTCAAAGGGCTGCCCAAGATCGAAATACCCAAATCCTTGGTCCAGACACCACCCCCTCAGCCAGTTGTTCACCTGTCCCATTCTCCTCCTTCTTTCTGGGTCCCGATCACCCAGAGGGGGAGGACAGAGGAGAACACTACCTGCACCCCTGATCCCTTCAACAGCCTTCCCAGGGATGCAAAGTCCTTTTTAATATTCCTCATTTTTCTAGTTGCAGCTTCCCAGGTTCCAACCTGAATGACAACAAAAGGATAGTAATCCTCCGGTTTAATGAGCTGTAGCATAGCCTTCCTAACGTCTCTGACACGTGCCCCAGGAAGACAGCACATCTCTTTGGATAGGTTATCTGGGCGACAAATGGGATCCTCAGTGCCCCTCAGCAAGGAGTCTCCGATCACTAAGACTCTCCGTTCTTTTTTTTGTGGCACTGGTTGTGATGTAGTGCTCCCCCTGGCCCCGATCCCTATGCTCAGTACTTCCCCCAGTCTTGACACGCTTCGCAGGGTTGCTTCCCGGGTTTGGACTACTGTCCAGACCCTCAACCTCATCCTTTTCCTGCCTGAGAGCCTCAAATCTATTACCCAGGAACACTGTGGGGGTTGGTGGCACCGTGGGTGTCGGGGGCAAACTTTTCTTTCTGCTTCCAGCTGAGATGAGGGTCCAGCCCCTTTTCTCTTATGATTGGTCAAACCCTCCGTCCTGCATGTGATCAGCTGGGTCAGCTACTACCCCTTGCAGGTACTTAGGAGGGGGCTGCTGGGCATCAGCAGGGGCAGGTTGACACCTCCTGTCTGTCACCCTCAGAGACTCCCAGGAGCTCCTCAGGCTGCCGATTTCTCGCTGCAGCCCAGCCTCCTGCTCAAGGAGTCCCTTAAGCAGGGCACACCTGCACCCATGACAGCCCTCTCTTCCTTCAGGACCCAGGGGGGCCTCCAGATTCCGGAGCTCACCAGTCACCTGTCTGGACTGCCACTTCCCCCCTCAGTGCCCACATGAGCCCAGAGAGGCCGCACCTCCTCTGTTTGGGTTGCCTCCTTGGACCAGCCGCTGCAACGGGTGCCCACCATGCTGAATTCTAGGTGCAAAGAGGCAGAGTTCCCCGAGGAAAGGAGGGAATGGGGAGAGAAAGGGAGGTGGGAAAGGAAGGAGACGATCCTTATCGCACTCTTCCCTGCCCCGCCTGAACTGCCAATCTGGTCCTGTTAGCGCATCCTGTTTGCAGCGCTCCCTAGGGACTACTTTTATAGCTCCAGGGGGTGGGTGGGCTCCTGTCACCCCTCGCTCCGCCCTCAGCACGTCAACGCCCGCGGCGGCA